GGTATTTACAAGCAAGTTAATAGTAAAAAATAAAATAAAATCTCTTAAGCAGTGTACAGTCTGAGAAAACGACAACACAGTATATCATTGGAGCAAAAATGCAATGTAAAAACCAATAAAACAGCAATATGAAAACATGTAAAAGCAGAAAAGCAAACAAAACAGAAAATCTTCCCAATGCCTATGCTTGCTTTAGAGGGGAAATTTTCCTTAGTTTCCCATGCTTCAGGGTGACAATCGTGGCCACGATGGACCAAGGATGTCTTTCGTTTTTCTCTTCTCCATCTTCAAGAGGCTCTTATTCTTCAAACATTTTTGTTCTGTCTCCATCAACCCATCCTTCATTTCCTCTTTCCATTTCTTTTTTGGCAGCTGCAATTATTGACTGCCCCTCTGCCTTCTGTCCCTGAAGTGCTGGTTTTGACCTATAAAGCCTTAAACAGCTCAGGACCACAATACCTCAAGGACTGCATCTTTCCATATGAACCTACACAAACCCTGAGATCATCTTCTGAGGCCCTTCTTCGTGTGCCGCCTCCTCAAGAGGTCTGGAGGGTGGCAACACGAGAACAGGGCCTTCTCTGCAGTGGCTCCCCATCTGTCGAATGCTCTCCCCAGAGAGGTTTGCCTGGTTCTGTCATTATACACTTTTAAGCACCAGGCAAAAACATTCCTTTTTAACCAGGCCTTTGGCTGATCTGATTTACATCCTATGCCCTTTTAAAATATGTTTATTTGGGGGGGGGAGCTATTGGGTTGTTGTTTTTATTTTTATTATGTTTTTGTGCTTTTATATTTTGATTTTATTCTGTGAATCGCCCTGAGATCTCTGGGTATAGGGCGGTATATAAATTCAAATAATAATAATAATAATGTCCCCCCATCCCACCCCTTTATCTTGACTGACTCAGTGCTCTTAATGGGCTCATTTTGCATTCCACTCCATCTCAGGTCTTGGGGTGACTAAGAGCAGTTAAATTGGTCTGTGTCCTTTCAAGGGCTCACATTAAAAATAGATCCCATAAATTGGCCCAGGAGGAAAGGGAGAGACAAACAGAGGGGAGGAGGAATTAAATCCTGAATTCAGCACCAAGCATCCCACACACACCAAGCGTCCCACAGTATGGCTTCATCCCCAACCTCCCACTATTAAGTAGGAAGGTCTAAAGGGAGGTTCTCAATGTATGTATTCCGCTGAATGTGCAGGAACCCCAGTTACGGAAGTAGGGAGACAAAGTGAATTCAGCTGAGTTGCCTTCCAGTCCTTCCCATGAAGGATCCAGATATGGCCTTTGGGGGCAGGGCTGGTGTTCATGGCCCTGCTCCCTCTCTTTGCAAGCTGAATTTCAGAACACCTGAAGAGGGCTTGCAACCAAGCATGGGACCCCCAGGGGGGACTGCCTGTACCTGAACGACAGGTGTGTGTAGAGAATTCTGGGAATTCAGATGGGCACATGAGCAGAAATTGCACATTCGTGCCATGCTTCAGGTGGAAATCAATCCAGGGAATAGAATTGGTATTTGCTGCTGTGTTTTCAGCATGACAATGCCACAGGATTAGGCCACTTCTTTATCCCCATTTCTTACATTTTACTGGGCTTTCATTGGTTCCCTTTCTGCTCTGCTGTTCTGTATTCATCCATCCATCCGTCCATTTCCAGGATCAGCCCCATCCTTTGTCAGAGGGAGGCAGCAGTCTCCTTCCACCCCCTAAGCACCCTCTGCTCAGCTTCTCCCTCAGGGCACGGCTCACGGGTGTTGATGTGGGAGACTTCTCCCAATTGTATGGGATTCTCAGGGACTGCCAACTTTTGCAGACAGCTCCACAGGCACATCTGCAAATCAGAGAAACTGTTGTGGGCACTAAACAAGCCTCGGCCCAACACACGCCATAGCCTGTTCCACGGTCTGGGGCAAACACACTTGGCTCAGAGGGGAGGGGACACAGGGAGGGAAGCCTGTGGGTGCCAGAGAAGGCGGGTGCCAGGCATGCCTGGTGCCAGGGAGGAGGGGCACCACTTGCCCTTCACCTAAAGCAGCAAAATACCCTGGGCTCCCATTCTCTCTTGTATTTTCAATTGGTGGGTTGTTGTTTGTTCCAGTTTAAAGCTAAAGAGGGGGCTTTCCCTGGAAAGGAGTGAAGCAAGGGGGAAACAGGTCAAACCTAGAAAGTGCTGGTCAACCGGAAAGCTGCTTGGACACCCCTCCCCCCCCCATGCTTTCTAGTGTGAATGAGCCTTGAAGCTGCTAACCTAACCAACATCTACTTACTCAGAAGTAAGCTGCATGGAATTTAATGGGACTTATTCCAAGTTTAGATTAGGTTAGGACTGCAGTCTTAGTAGGTAAGAATATAGGAATCTGCCTTATATTGAATCAGACCATTGTGTCCATCTAGCTCCATACTGTCCACACTGACTGGCAGCGGCTCTGTGTGGTTTCAGGCAGGAAGTCTCTCCCAGTCATACCCAGAGATGCTGGGGGATTGAACCTGGGACCTTCTGCACCCAAAGCAGGTGTTCTGCCACCCCATAGCTCACTCCTTGACCCACAATGTAAGCACAACCAAGTTAAAACAGGGCTCCTATTTTTTCATACCCATATTCATCTGCATTTTATTCCGTGTAAAAACTAGCGGGTTCCATAGTGCCAAGCTTAAAGGCTGAAAAGTACACATCTAGCTTTCTTTTGCTTTTGTAAATTATAATCCCTCTAAAGAGGCCTTGTAAGATCTGCTCGCAACGGCTCAGGATGATCTGGTTAGCAGCTTGCGTTTGGCACAATTGGTAAACCCTCTACTTTGAAAGAGCAGAGCTATTCTATGAAATGTTATATTTACAAGAGAGAGTTGGAGTAGCAGGGTGCATGGGTGTAGCCAAGAGGGGGCTAGAGGGCAGCTTCCCCCCCCCAAAAAAAACCAGGGAAATAAATAAAAATGCTTAACCAGCTGACCAATTGTGTTGCAGGTAGCTCAGTTCTGCCCACCCCCTCAGTCCTGGCTATGCCCATGGCAGAGCGGCTAAGAGACTGAACTCCAAAGCAAAAGGATCTGGTTCAAACCTCACCTCTGCCATAAACTCACCCCGTCAGCTGATTTTGGGGGGGCTATGGTCTCATCTGCCATGTGGACAGAGTGTGATGGTCGCTCCTCACCCCACTCCTGCACACACACACACACACACACACACACACACACACACACACTTTTCTTTTCCCTGCACTTTGGGTGAAAGGACGGCTGCAGCAGAATTAAAGCAGATCCTCTTGGCTTGTAATTCAGAGGCAAACTGTCTCTCAGTGGAAGAGGAGCAACACAGCTGGCGTGGGGCAACTCTGAGCTCCAATATCACAAGAAAACCAAGAGAGAAAGAGAAACCACAAGGAACGGAGGAGGCTCCCTGGGGAGGAAAGGTGGCAGTGTCTCAGGCTTTTTGGTTTGCTGAAAATGTGAGTGACACAATAGAAGTGTGTAAAATTATGTGTGGAAAAAGTGTACAGAGAAGAGTGTCCCCCCCCAACAACAACAACAACATGGGGACACCCAATGAAGGTGACTGCTGGAAGGTTCAGGACAGATAATAGAAAATACTTCTTCACACAGAGCATAGTTAGTCTATGGAACTCACTGCCACAGGAGGCAGTGATGGCCACCAATGTGGATGGCTTTAAAAGAGGACTAGACAAATTCACGGAGGAGGAGAGGGCTTTCGATGGGTAGGAGCCAGGATGGCTCTGTTCTTCCTTCACAGTTGGAGGAAGCAATGCTTCTGGATAGCAGTTTCAGAAAACCACAGGAGGAGGGGAAGAACACTTGCTGGTTTCCCACAAGCATCTGGTCAGCCACCGTGAGAACAGGATGCTGGCCTTGATGGGCCCCTGGCCTGATCCAGCATGCCCTCCTCCCCAGGCTGGCTGCACCTGCTGGCATGAGCCAGACCAGGCGCCTCTTCTGCAGCCTGAGCTGGCAGCGCAGAAGGACAAGGACACTGGTCTCCAGTTTCAGCCTGAACTGAAGGAGGGGGGGCAGAGGGAATGCCAGTGTGTACTTCACTGCATGTTTGAAGGGATCCAAATCGTCGATTCAGCAGCTCCATCGCTTATCTGATGAGCCCAGGGATGCAACAGGGACCAACCAAGAGATATTTGTTTTGCAGCACAGCCAATGCCAGAGAGAGAGAGAGAGAGAGAGAGAGAGAATGAATGCTATTGCTGGTGGAAAATTGCCAAGAAAGCCAACTGGGAGTTGAAAGGAATTGTGAGGAGGCAGGGGGGCAGATGGGGGGGGGTAAGTGTTTAACCCACCCAGCGAGAGGGAGGGGGAGAGATAGATAGATGATAGATAGATGATAGATAGATGATAGATAGATGATAGATAGATAGATATAGGGATAGATAGATAGATAGATAGATAGATAGATAGATAGATAGATAGATGATAGATAGATAGATAGATAGATAGATGATAGATAGATAGATATAGATAGATAGATAGATAGATAGATAGATAGATGATATAGATAGATAGATGATAGATAGATAGATGATAGATAGATAGATAGATAGATATAGATAGATAGATATAGATAGATAGATAGATATAGATAAATAGATAGATAGATAGATAGAGGTAGAAAGATGATAGATACAGTAGATAGATATAGATAATAAATGTGACAAAAGGCTGTGACCTCAATTTTATTTTGTGCTGATTTTTCTCCCTCCGTTTTCAAGGGAAGGAGGGAGGGGGGATTGGAGCAGACAGTGGCAAGGGAAGAGGAGCGATTTCTCGGCTGCTGGTTAAGAAGCAGCCTGTTCCTTTTGCTCGCAGAGACCCCATGGCCAGCAAGAGCTCGTGCATGCAAGCATGTGGCAGCCAGAATGAACAACCTCCCAAGCAAGTTTCTGATTTGCACTTTTGTCATTTCCCTCCTTCCCTTGGCTTTCTCCCTCACCCCCACCCCTTTTTTCTTTTCTTTAAACAAAATTCCTTTCTCCCACAGGAATGCAGGAAGCTGCCTTGGACTGAGCCAATCTGCTTGTCCACCTAGGCCAGGTGACACAGCCAGCCACCCAGCCAGCCAACCCTCCCAGGAGATGCTGGGGGGTTGGACCCTGGACCTCCTGCATTCAAAGCAGCAGCTCTCCCCCCACCCCACAAGGCTGTGTTTCTTCCATGGATGATTCATCCCACTTTGAAAGTTTTCCTCATGGATTTGCGCTTACTCTGCTCAGTTTGGCTTCTGATGGGAGAGGGCTCTGGCACGTGAATCCTGCTTGTGAGATTCCCCTGGAGGCATCTGGGTGGCTACAGGGAGAAGAGGGTGCTGGTCTAGCTTGGCCATTGGCCTGATCCAGCAGGCTCTTTTTATGTTCTTTGGTTGCCGCTTGGGGCGTGGGGGGGGGCACTGTGAGAAGAGGCTGCTGGAGTCCATGTGTGCCTGGAGAAGCCTGAGTGTTGGCCTCTGCTGGCTAGCAAAGAGGACCTGGCTCTCTAAAGATGGATGGCAGAGCAGTGGACGTGTCCGAGGCAGGTGAGCATTAATTGTCTTCTTGACCCGGGGAATTGAATAAATGCTAATAAATGCCACAAAGGCCGCCATCCTCTCTTTAGCACTAGCAGGAAGTCTGGAGTGCCATCCATCACTGACAGGGGCGGGGGGGGGCATAAATTGTATCTTTAGCCAACTGGCCGACACAGGAAGGATGGGGAGAAAACAAGAGCACAACTTTCACCTCTTTTGTGCAGGCGACAAATTAATTCTCTTTGGGTCACTCAGGGACAGCCCTCTGGGAAGAGGCTGCTTGCACCCTCCACTGACACTTCAAGAAGTTTCTCTTCCTCCCTCCAGCATCCGAGGCAGCCTGCCTCTCCATGCAAGGTGCTGGGGAGCGTGCCTTTGTGCATTTTGGGCATCACAATATGCATTTTCTGGGCAATGGTGAGAACCAGATGCTGGACTAGATGGTCCCTTGGGCTGATCCTATAGCCAGGCTCTGCTTTTGTTCTTTCCCATCTACACCCTGAACCTCATGGAGGCAGCTCTTCAAAGGCGCCCAGTCTGTTCACTTGCGTTTTGTTCATTTCACTTTAAATACTGTGTTTATATCCTGCTTCCTTAAAACTAAATAAATAAACCAAGCACAACCACTTGAAGCAACGTCTGGTGAAAATAGTGGCAAAAATGAAAGCAACAATTGGGTAGCTGCAAATGGGCAGTTAAAATGACAGTATTAATACATTAACTGTGTAACAGTATTAATGAGCAGCAGTTCAAAATGAAAAAGAAAACCACAGCAAGAGTATTGCAAGTTTAAAACTGCAGATCATACCTCGAAAGCTGACAGGAGAGATTTCTATAATCTATATTAATTGGCTCATCTGGAAGAGAATGCCATGATCTGGCCACCACAGTACTCCAGGTGAGGTCTGACCAGAGCAGAATACAGTGGCACTATTACTTCCCTTGATCTAGATGCTATACTCCTATTGATGCAGCCCAGAATTGCATTGGCTTTTTTAGCTGCTGCGTCACACTGTTGGCTCATGTCAAGTTTGTGGTCAACTAAGACTCCTAGATCCTTTTCACATGTACTGCTCTCAAACCAAATTTAAATATGGATCTGTACTATCTTCATAAATAAAATGTGCTTTTATTATTATCTAAATGGTGGCCAAAGTGGGAAAGTTCCCTGTCCAAAATTAAGATATACAGTGGTACAGTGGTACCTCGCAAGACGAATGCCTCACAAGACGGAAAACTCGCTAGACGAAAGGGTTTTTGGTTTTTTGAGTTGCTTCGCAAGACGATTTTCCCTATGGGCTTGCTTCGCAAGAAGGAAACGTCTTGCAAGTTTGTTTCCTTTTTCTTAAAACCGTTAATACAGTTGCGACTTGACTTCGAGGAGCAACTCATAGCCTTTTTTGTGGTAGCCTTTTTTGAGGTTTTTGAAGACTTTGGTGATTTTTGAAGCTTTTCCAAAACTTTTCCGACACCGTGCTTCGCAAGACGAAAAAAATCGCAAGACGACAAAACTCGCAGAACGAATTAATTTCGTCTTGCGAGGCACCACTGTACCTCGGTTTATATACACTTCAGGTTACATACACTTCAGGTTACAGACTCTGCTAACCCAGAAATAATGCTTCAGTTTAAGAACTTTGCTTCAGGATAAGAACAGAAATCATGCCCTGGCAGCGCGGCGGCAGCAGGAGACCCCATTAGCTAAAGTGGTGCTTCATTTATTCCCTGGCAAATGACTTATTCCCTGGCAAGTGAGTATAGAAGTTCAGCCTGAATGTTTGAGATCCCCATACTGCAATAACCCAGTAGAAGTATCTGGCCAGAAGTTATAAATGTTCCTTTGTACTCCTGGGCATTGTAAATTTGCGTTTTCAAGAAATTTGGCCACATTTGCAAGAGATATTTGCAAAAGAGGTCTCTTTTCTTTCCTCCCCGATCCTCTCTGTATTTTCCACTACCAATCACCCTGCCTGATTTTCCTCCTCAGTTTCCCTGGTGGCTTCAGATAAAAGGCCAGATCCAGGATTGTGTATGGCAGAATATGATGGCAGAATCCTCGGGTGAGAGAGAGGACAGGACCACTTCAGACAGCAAGTGATGGGCCACATTTAAAAAAAAAAATCAAAAATCCCCTTGATTGTTGGCAGAGGGAAATGCACAGCAGATTGAAAGCTAGTAAATTATTATTATTATTATTATTATTATTATTATTATTATTAAATTTTGTATACCACCCTTCATCCATAAATCTCAGGGCAGTTCACAGCATAAAATTACAATATAAAAAACACAAAATACATAATAAAAATGTATTTAAGATAAAAACAAAAACAAACCAATAATGGGGGGAAAGAAAGCCCAGTACAGTCCTTATCCTGCTGTGCTACTTTTCTGCTTGTGGGGCTCTTTTTCATGGTTTTCAAGGTTAGATGGCCATCTGTCAGGGATTCTTTAGTTGTGATCCCTGCATTGCAGGGGTTGGACTAGATGACCCTTGAGTTCCAACCCTACAGTTCTATTAATATAGATATAAGGTTTCTAGGTCCATTCTCCAGCTGAAGAGCATGGATGGCAGATGGGCTGCCATATCTTGAAGTGCTAAAAAGAGGACAGTCCAAGTCACTGCCAGCCCAAGCCGAGGAAAGAGGTGCTGGGGAGGGCTAAGCTGCCTGAGCCCAAGCCCCCACCCCCAAATCCAGACATTTCCTTTAAAATGTAAAAATCTGCCCAACTGGGCATGTTGGCCCTCCCAAAGATGCCATGTCTGGGTTTTCCTGGCAACCCTAACAGATGTGAAATCTGTGATTTGTTCACTTACATTGTATGTATTTAAATCTCTATCTCACCTTTTGTCCAAGGAGCCCCTTGGCTCTCCCCCCTCCCCATTTTATTCTTGCGGCAGCCCTGTGAGGTAGGCTGGGCTCTGATTGTCTCAAGGTCACTCAGTGAGTTTTATGGCTCCAGCCCTGTAACCCTTACACCACACTGTCAGTGCTGTTGGATGGTGACTCCTCATCATCCCTGGAGCTGGAGCTGGTGAGAGCTGCAGTAGAAAGCATTTGGGAGGCACCAGGTTGAAGAACATTGAATTAGAAGGCGGCTTCTTCCCATTCTAGCAAAGGGAGTATTAATTGCTTGACTTTGGCCATTTACACTATACAGTGGAACCTCAGGTTACGTACTGTCCTCCTTACGAACGCTTCGGGTAACGAGCTCCACTAACCCAGAAGTAGATGCTCCTGGTAGTGAACTTTGCCCCGGGATGTGACAACAGCTCCCAGAAATCTACCGTGGGGTGGGCATTGTGAAGTAGTGTCATCTTTAGCACAGGTGAGGCTTTTGCTTGTGTGCTGCTTGAATTTCAAGGGAAAGACGATCATTTAGAAAGTCCTGTGTTTAATCTTCCATGGAAGGATGTTGATCTCTAACCTGAAACTGGACTAAACCAGACCCTCCAGGTGTACCTATTTCCCAGGGATGTGCCAGATTTATAGAAGCCGTCCTGGTATCTTATTTGATCCTGGAATGTCCTGCTTTTCCTTAGGATGTCCCTATTTTCATCACAGAAATGTTGGAGGGTATGGAGTTATCTGACCCCTGAGCCATCTAAAGGCAGCCCTGTATAGTGTTTGTTTGTTTGTTTGTTTGTTTGTTTGTTTGTTTGTTTGTTTTAAAAAAGTTCAGTCTTTTATTATGTTTTTTTTATATGTTTTATATGTTAGGGCAACACAGTCAGATAAATAGTAAAATGATGATGATGGAATAGGATGTCCCTATTTTTATTGGAGAAATGTTGGAGGGTATGCTAAACTGAAAATGAGAACAGAGCATCAAAAAGTGCCAACCTTTGCCCTCAGGTCGAGGCACCACCAACATGCCAGGATTAAACCTCTTGCATGGCCACAGAGGAATAAAAGGATCTGTTTCGACTTTGGATAAGGAATGAGAGGGCAACCAACAGGTTTCACAAAACACATGGCATTGAGTCGGGGGGGGGGAGAGAGAGGTGGGCCTGGCCTCATGAGCTTGTGGGACGCTCCCCCCAGGGAAGCTCACCTGGCACCTTTGTTACATATCTTTAGGCTCCAGGTGAAAATCTTCCTCTTCTCCTAGGCCTTTGGCCAATTAAATAATCTGTGGACTTTTAAACTGGGGGTGGGAATTGTTTTTATGTGTAATTACGGTACGTCTTTTTGTGGTTTTATATTATAAACCGCCCTGTGATCTTGGGATGAAGGACAGTATAAAGGTAAAGGTACCCCCCCCCGACCATTAGGTCCAGTTGCAAACGACTCTGGGGTTGCACGCTCATCTCGCTCTATAGGCTGAGGGAGCTGGTGTTTGTCCGCAGACAGCTTCCAGGTCATGTGGCCAGCAATACTAAGCCGCTTCTGGCGAGCCAGAGCAGCACACGGAAACGCCGTTTACCTTTCCACCAGAGTGGTACCTATTTATCTACTTGCACTTTGACGTGCTTTCGAACTGCTAGGTGTGCAGGAGCTGGGATGGAACAACGGGAGCTCACCCAGTCGCGGGGATTCAAACTGCCAACCTTCTGATCGGCAAGCCCTAGGCTCAGTGGTTTAGACCACAGCATCACCCGCATCCCGATAGAAATTTAATAAATAGAATAAACAATAAAAATAAATTATCTCGGTCAGTGCCTGCTAAGCTTTGCCCTTCTAGAGATTGCTGAATGAAAACTGCCATCCTCCCTGGCCATGTTGGCTTGGACTAGTGGGAGTCTGGCAACATCCAGGGGGCCATCAGTTCCAGCCCCCACCTCCAGAGCTGATGTTACTGGCTCTGCTCTAGATTAATGGCCTTTCTCCGCTGGAAGGCTACTGGATGCGTCCTTTGCTAAGTGGCATGTGAGCTGCAGCAGTAACAGCTCCCCAGGGAGATGCTTCAAAAACAGAACACCTGCAGCTCAAGTCCCTTCTCCGCCAATGGCAGGAAGAAGCGAACGCCGGGCAGCCCAGGCGGGCTCTTGAGGCCGGCATCTGCCT